CAGCTGGAAGCGCCTCCTCTCCTCCTCCGACGTCCCCCAGCGCCTCACCCCCGATGCTGTCACCTCCCTTCTTAATCTCACCGCCGGTCACCCGATCCACCCAAAGCTTCTCCTTGACTTTTTCTACTGGTCTTCTCTCAACCTCCAGAGTTCTCCTCAGAGCTTGGCCTCTTTCTCTTCGCTTGCTGTTGTTCTATCCAATTCGAATCTTTTAGGACCGTTGAATGGATTGTTGGAGAACATGATCAAGACCCATCAAAACCCTTCTCTTATTTTCGCTTCTATTGCTGATTCTTTTGCGAAATCCCCCAGTTCGAATTCTGTTGTGTTTGACGTGTTGATTGATACTTTTAAGAAGATGGGTCTGCTTAAAGAGGCTTCGGAAGTTGTCTTTTTGATGAAAGGTGGAAGCTTGACGCCTGGCCTGCGCTGCTTGAATTCACTGCTGAAGGATTTGCTGAGATCGAATAACATGGGTTTGTTCTTCCAAGTGTTTGATTTTATGCGCGAGTCGAATTTGGGTCTTGACGCTTATACTTTTTCTAGTTTGATTGCTGCTTATTTTAGGGTGGGAGATGTTGATGCTGCGAGGAGGGTGCTTGAGGAAATGGGGGAAAAGGGCGTGAGCCCGAATTCGGTGATCTATAACACCTTGATTACTGGATTTTGTCGGGTTGGAGCTCTTGGTGATGCTTTTGAGTTGAAGAAGGAGATGGTGGACAAGGGTTTGGTAGCCGATAGTTTTACGTATGGCGCATTGATTAATGGAATGTGTAGAGATCACAAGTCTAGCCAAGCAAGTATGCTGCTTGATGAAATGTCTAGACTGGGTTTAAATCCTGGTATTGTTGTGTATTCTTCTTTGATTGATGGGTTTATGAGAGAAGGAAAAATTGATGAGGGTTTTAGAGTAAGGGATGAGATGGTAGCATCTGGGATTCAGCCAAATATCATCACTTACAATAATCTTATTAATGGAGTTTGCAAGATGGGAAGGATTGACAAGGCACATGAGCTCTTGAAGGAGATGGTCGACATTGGTTGGGAGCCCGATGTAAAGACGTATAATCTAATCATTGAAGGCCATTTCCGGGTGAAGGATCCTCAAGGAGCTTTAGCTTTGTGGAAACAGATGAAGAGTCAGAATGTACCTCCTAATCTGTTCACTTTCGGCATGGTAATCAATAGACTCTGCAGAGAAGGTATGGTTAAGGAGGCTTGTGAAATGTTGGACACAATGAACACATTGAAGGTAGTTCCCGATGAGTTCTGTTATAGTTCTCTTATAAGCAGCCTTTGTAAGGCTGAGAAGATGGAAGAAGCAAGGTGTTACTTCTACCAAATGAATGAAAGAGGGCTTTTGCCAAACTCATTCACTTACGGAACTCTCATTAGTGGATTTAGTAAGGTCGGAGAGATGAGCGAGGCGGATAAATATTTCCAAGAGATGCTTTCTAGAGGTTTGAAGCCAAACGATTTCATTTATACGGCACTCATTGATGGATACTGCAAGGTAAACAACTTCGCCAAGGCTTTCTCGACACTTCACTTTGTGTTGGAGAAGGGTATTTTGCCAGATATTCAGACGTACAGTGTGCTAATCCATAATCTTTCAAAGAGGGGTAAGATGCAAGAGGCTTTACAGGTCTTTTTTGAGCTGGAGGAGAAAGGCTTGGTCCCTGATGTATTTACATATAGCTCCCTTATCTCTGGCTTCATAAAGCTTGGTGAAGTAGAAAAGGCTCTAAGTCTTCACGATCAGATGTCCGTCAAAGGCGTTGAGCCTAATATAGTCACGTATAATTCTATTATTGATGGCCATTGCAAGTCAGGTGATGTTGAGGATGCTAGAAAGCTTTTCAAGTTCATCACTGAGAAAGGATTGGTTCCAAACGCTGTGACCTATACTGTAATGATTGATGGGAACTGCAAATCAGGAAATCTGGTAGAGGCTTTTGCTTTATTTGACGAAATGGTGGCTAAGGGAATCCCCACAGATAAGTTCGTGTACAATACTCTCATAGGCGGTTGCTGCAAAGCTGGAAACATGGAGAGAGCTTTCGAGTTGTTTGATGAGATGTTGGCAAAAGGCTTTGCTACTGTTCTTACTTTCAACACTTTGATTGATGGCTTCTGCAAGCTGAGGAAGCTAGAACAAGCTAGCCAATTGCTTCAAGTGATGCTGGAGAAAGAAATCATGCCTACTAATGTGACTTTTACAACCTTGATTGACGGCTACAGCAAGGAAGGAAATATGGATGAGGCGTGCCGGTTACTCGTAGAGATGCAGGAGAGGAGACTGATGCCTAATGCCATCACTTACACTTCTCTTATAGATGGGCATTGTAGGGTAGGCGACAGAACGAAGGCGTTTGCTTTATTTGAAGAGATGATAGCCAGAGGAATATTGCCCGATCAAATAACTTACCATGTGATGACTGATGCATACTGTAAAGAAGGTAACTTGGTTGAGGCCTTCAAGTTAAGGGATGCCATCCTAGAGAGAGGTATGTCAATGAATTGTACCACATATCTTGCACTTTTAAATGGCCTTGTCAGTAAGAAAGACTTTTGCAAAGCATTGGGAGTGATTAGTGAAATGAAAGAGCAAGGACTCGAGCCTTCTGATTCTCAATGTCTTATGCTGATAAAGGATCTCATATCAAAAGGGTTTCTGGATGAAGCTAAACATCTTATGAAGGTGATGGTGGATAGTAGCTGGTTGTCTGAGGAAAAATGCGCCAGTTTAATGTAATCTAGATGAAGCGTGTTTCATTGGTCCCCGGAAATTATCAGAAAAAAGCACATGGCTGTAGCCTCAAAGGCAAATGTTGAGAGCTTTGTGATCCGAAAACTTGCTTTTACTTGAATGATGGTTGCATGTAACTCCTTGCATCTTCGATAATTTGGCGACGAAAATTGCGCTCTGTGGTGCTTCAGTGTGAATATTCCATGGTGATTAAGCTCGATTCACATTTGTACTAACTCAGGTATTTTGGCGATTTATGCTCTGTTTCTTAAAGTCCTTTTGCTTAACTCTCCAATGTTGACTTGTTTATTTGCAGCAGGGCTTACAGGCCTTCGGTGAAACCGATGCTTGAATAACACTCAGTGATTTCCTGCAACAATTATTTATTCAAGAAAGCAGCCTTTATTAAGGGAAATTATGGTTTTATGAGGTAATTGTATGTGTTGGAAAATTACTTAGATTTCACTATTGCCAGATTTAAGAGAAAGCGAAATGAATGTGCAAAAAGGGGACACACAAGATTTACGTGGTTCGGCACAAACTTGCCTACGCCCACGGGCTGCTACAGATCTTTCACTATGAAGAGAAATTTTACAACACTCACAATTTTCTCACAACCCAATCCCTATTCTGAAAATTGCTCATAATTTTCTATCACAAAGAGTTTTCTCTAAGCTTCTCTTTTCTCTCTCTTACTCTTCTATAAGAGGAGTTGTTTTTTAGATGAGTTTTTCTTAAGAGTTTGGGGGCCTATTTATAGTGTTTGAAAAAATACTATGCACCAATAATTTATTACTGGTGGGACCTATGGTAGGACTCGCGACGGGGCCCATCTATAATTTTTTTTCTTCTCCTTTTAGTATCTTTCCCTCATTTGTCAAAAAATAGGGTTGGTTTTTGTCAAAAAATAGGGCTGGTTAGCTTTCGGTGGCTGAAGACATTTGACAAAGAAAAAAAGAACTTTGGCTCTTTCGATGCATTCATTTTTGACCAACAATCTCCCACTTGAAGACTGATTTCAATCTGTCTTCACATCTCGATCTATGCAGCAACTCTTCCCTGTCTTGATACTATTGCAGGCCAATTAAAGCCGAACACAACTTCAGTTTGTCAATAGTCATCATCTTTGTCAGCATGTCTGTCGGATTTTGAGCTCCACTAATCTTTTCAAGCTTCAAAATTTTATCTTTCAAAAATGACCGGATAAAATGATATCGCATTTGTATGTGCTTCGTTCTGAAATGAAAAGACGGATTCTTCGCTAGATGAATAGCACTTTGACTGTCGCAATATAAGACATTGTCTTCTTGGCTAGATGAATAGCACTTTGACTGTCGCAATATAAGACATTGTCTTCTTGTTTCTTGCCTAACTCATCCAAGAAACTTTACTGTCGCAATATAAGACATTGTCTTCTTGTTTCTTGCCTAACTCATCCAAGAAACTTTGAAGCCAAACTATTTCCTTGCAGGCTTCTGTAACAGCGACGTATTCTGCTTCAGTTGTGGAGAGAGCAACTATCTTTTGTAGTTGAGAAACCCAACTCACTGTAGTACCTCCTAGAGTATAGACATACCTTGTAGTGTTCTTTCTAATATCAACATTTCCTGCTAAATCAGCATCCACATAACCTGTTAATATTGTATCTTCACCTTTGAAACAAAGTGCTTTACCTGTGGTACCCCGTAGATATCTGAGGATCCATTTGACTGCTTTCCAGTGTACCTTGCCCGGATCATTCATGTACCTGCTAACAACTCCCACTGCTTGAGCAATATCTGGTCTTGTACAAACCATGGCATACATCAGACTTTCAATTGCTGAGGCGTACGGGACCTTCGTCATGTGTGCACGCTCTTCCTCTGTCTTTGGTGACTGTTCTTTGAAAAGTCTGAAATAAACACCTAAAGGTGTACCCACTGGTTTAGCATCTTGCATGTTGAACTTGGAGAGTACTTTGTTGATGTATTCAACCTGTGATAACATCAAAGTCCTAGACTTCGTGTTTCTCTTGATCCTCATTCTAAGAATCTGCTTTGCAGCGTCAAGATCTTTCATTGCGAACTGCTTTGATAATTTTTGCTTCAAATTTGTAATATCTTGCAGCTATGAACCTGCAACGAGCATGTCATCAACGTATGACAATAAAATAATGAAGCTATTGTCAAACCTCTTGATATAGCAACAATGATCTGTTTGACATCGAGTAAAACCGTTACTGCTCATAAAGCTGTCAAACTTTTTGTACCACTGTCTGAGAGCTTGTTTTAATCCATACAAGCTCTTTTTCAACTGACATACTAGATTTTCCTTGCCTGCCTTTATTAAGCCTTCTGGTTGTTTCATATAAATCTCCTCCTCCAAATCACCATGAAGGAAAGCTGTTTTTACATCTAACTGCTCAAGATGTAAATTCTCAGCAACTATAATTTTCAACACCAGCCTGATTGTAGTCAGTTAAAAAGGATCTTGTATGGATTAAAACAAACTCTCAGGCAGTGGTACAAGAAGTTTGATAGCTTTATGAGCAGCAACGGTTTTACTAGATGCCAAGCAGATCATTGTTGCTATATCAAGAGGTTGACAATAGCTTCATTATTTTATTGTCATACGTTGATGATATGCTCGTTGCAGGTTCAGATCTGTAAGAGATTACAAAATTGAAACAAAAAGTATCAAAGCAGTTCGTAATGAAAGATCTTGACGCTGCAAAGCAGATTTTTGGAATGAGGAACAAGAGAGACACGAAGTCTAGGACTTTGATGTTATCACAAGCTGAGTACATCAATAAAGTACTATTCAGGTTTAACATGCAAGATGCTAAACCAGTGAGTACACCTTTAGGTGTTCATTTCAGACTTTTCAAAGAACAGTCACCAAAGACAGAGGAAGAGAATGTCCCGTACACATCAGCAATTGGAAGTCTGATGTATTCCATGGTTTATACAAGATCAAATATTGCTCAAGCAATGGGAGCTGTTAGCATGTACATGAATGATCCGGACAAGGTACACTGGGAAGCAGTCAAATGGATCCTCAGATATCTATGGGATACCACAGGTAAAACACTTTATTTCAAAGGTGGAGATACAATATTAACATGTTATGTGGATACTGATTTAGCAGGAAATGTTGATATTAAAAAGAGCACTACATAGTATGTCTATACTCTAGGAGGTACTGCAGTGAGTTGGGTTTCTCAACTGCAAAAAATAGTTGCTCTCTCCACAACTGAAACAGAATACGTCGCTGTTAGAAAAGCCAGTAAGGAAATGATTTGGCTTTAAAGTTTCTTAGATGAGTTAGGCAAGAAACAAGAAGACAATGTCTTATATTGCGACAGTCAAAGTGCTATTCATCTAGCGAAAAATCCGTCTTTTCATTCCAGAACGAAGCACATACAGATGCGATATTATTTTATCCGGTCACTTCTGAAAGATGGAATTTTAAAGCTTGAAAAGATTAGTGGAGCTCAAAATCCGACAGACATGCTGACAAAGACAGTGACTACTGACAAACTGAAGTTGTGTTCAGCTTCAGTTGGTCTGCAATAGTATCAAGACGGGGAAGAGTTGCTGCATAGATCAAGATGTAAAGACATATTAAAATCAGTCTTCAAGTGGGAGATTATTGGTCAGAAATGGCTGCATCGAAAGAGCCAAAGCTTTTTTTTTCTTTGTCAAATGTCTCCAACCACCGAAAGCTAACCAACCCCATTTTTTAACAAAAACCAGCCCCATTCTTTAACAAATGAGGAAAAGACATTGAAAGGAGAAGAAAAAATTTTAGATGGGCTCTACAGCGGGCCCCACCCCCAACAGGATATTTTTCCAGGTGCGTGAGTCAACAGATTACGAGATTGATAAACAATGAAGATGGAGGAGGAAAAAAGACATGATATTAGAACATTGCCCAAAGCCAATCTCAGGGAACAATGAAGCTTCATAGGGTCTTTCTGTCCAGGTGCAGGTAGTCCGCATCTTCTTTTCAATAGTGGTCCATATACTTCTCTTATTTTGAGATTAGTCCCATAAATCAGTTAAAATGCTATTAACTCCTCTAGTTCTTATAAATTTTTTCAAAATATTCCCCCCGTTAGTCTTCCTGTCCAGTAAACTAACTTTGGTTGAGTTGCTGATAAATTTAGGGCATTTAACTACGCCTTTTACCCTCACTTAATGCATTTTTAGTCCCCAAATCCCAAAGTCTCCCCCTCTCATCTCCAAAATAGTTAATACACATGAATTTTATGGGGATCAAACGGCTTTGAAAGTGAATATGTGCCCTGATTTAACTTAAACATACGGCTATAACTGATATAAAAGAATGTTCCCTCCAAATCAAACGATAGCAAACCCGAGGAGCTAATTTGATACAACTTACAGCATTGGGGGACATAATAGCAATTTCATTGATTTGATGGTCTAAGTTCAAAACATGAAAGATTTTGGGGATATAATACCGAAAACCCTAAAACAATAGATGCTCTCTAGTCGTAGAAGTAAGAGTGTTGGTTGGATTACTGTCAATGTGATAGCAAGATATTTATGATCGGATAGTTTGATGTGTAGATGAGTAAACGGGTCGGGTTTCTGATGGATCGGATCAATGCAAAACCGAGACCCAGACCAAGATTCTTAAAAAGGAAGCCAACCTGTATGTGAACTTGCCAAGACAACCAGTACACCGATCCAAGCTCATACAAGGTTAAAGGTTGGATCCACCGTCGGGTTATGAATTCACACTGCTTATTATTTACTCGGTTTTTTCTTACAATTTTTTTGCTTTGCAGTTTTCTTAGTATGACTACGCTCAAGTTGTGCCATTTTGTTGAGTGTGAATTGTTTGGCTGGATTGAAATTTACAGGCATTGGGTTAAGTTTTACATTTTTTTTTTTTCATCTGTTTGAAGGTTACTTCTTCATCGATTTTAATGTTAAAAAACGTCCATGTTCATTTCTTGTGTACAACATGCTTATACAATCTTCTTATGTCATAATTTCACATCATACTGTAATCTCGGATTAACTGATCGGGAAGACCACCGGTTTGCAAGACAAAACATAAAAGGTTAATTACTTCAAAAATATTATCATACTATAAATTTTGGCTAAATGACACTTATATACCTTATTGTTTCACTCTTATAACACTTATATACCTAAGTTACAAAATATAGCAAAAAAATACCCTGAGTTGGAAAAAATTTGCAAGTTGGGGATCTTCTGTTAACCAGCCGTGAGAACATTCTCTGAAATATTCTCACGCACAGGACACATGACCAACTTGAATGCTTCTCACCTTCATTTATTACAGTATTTACTATATTAGCTACCCTCTCCCTAAATTAAATTATTTTCATCTTCATCTTTTTTTCGTAATCTCCGACTTCTTCCTCCTCTTTATCTTTACAGGTGAAAGAAAATGAAGTTCTCCTCATCTAGAACTTCAGGTGGGTCATCACGCTATGTCGTTGGTAAAGAGAAGGAGAGTAGGATATGCTATTGTCAATCTATTTAGTGGGTGGAAACGGCTCGAACGGCTAAAAATTATGGGTGTCGATTCTTTGGTTACCCAAATTATAGAGAAGCATCCAAGTGTAAATTTTTTGAATGTAAAGATAAATTGTTCCCTCCACAAGCTCTAGCTATGATCAACAGACTTTTATGTGAAAAAAGATGTCGGTAAAGAAGAACCAAAGAGTGAAGTTGGGGGAAATAAGAAATTTAGAGGAGCAATAGAGAGAGAAAAAGTTGAAATTGAAGATTAGAGAAAACAAGTTAGTGGAGAATAAAGATATTCTACGAGGTAGAGAAAGGGATTTAAGAAAATGTGAGGTATATTCGAGAAAGAAAAAGGGGAAATGAAGAAATTTTTTGTCGTTATTGTTTTAGTTATGGTATTTTATGTTGTGATTGTGAACAAACTTAGTTGAAGTTGGATGATGTTGTAATATGGTGATTTATCTAATTATGTAGTTTATGTGTAATTGAACTATTTATGAAGATATGAATTATGTTAATGTTTATCATAATTTTGCAATATTTTTTATTATAAAAATTTTGCTTGATTTTGCAGTAATTAGGCTTGAATTTTGTTATAGTTTTGATTGCATCAAGCTTGAGTTATGCTTGAATTATTATCATAATTTTTCATGATTTGGCAATAATTTCGCCATAATTTTCTTAAAATTTTCCATATTTTGCTATAGTATTGCCATATGATGCTTTGTAAGAACTACAACAAAAATCAATATTCATATATGCATGCAACACATGTAGTCCATGTCGATATTGCTTAAACAAAAATATTTATAACCAGAACATATGTTCATTGTCGATATTGCTTAAACAAAAACATTAATACTCAAAACCATATCACAACAATTGCTCCATATGTACACAGCACATATATCCCTATAACAGCAATATAACCATCCAAATTCACCAAATATAATACAGCCAAACCATAGTGCATCCATGCACAATGTTTAAACACATGAGAATCCATAGACAAATATCTGAGTTTACAAAAGAAATTTAACCGGAGGCAACAACACCTCATGTGACTGAAACATTTCCAAAGTGAAGTAAAACCATACAAAATACAAAATGTGTTGCTGTCATAGCTCCATGCATTTGACTGTAGTGCTCCACTATTCTTTCCTTCACCATTCTTATCTTCATTCTGAGCTGATATAGCTCCAAGTTGATCATCAAGAATTTGTATTACGAGTTTTGTCAAATTTGGGAAAATATTTGGTGTGGGGGCTTAACAATGGAGTGGGGCCTTTTCTAGTAGGCAACTTTTGCCTTCTGATTGACTAAGAGATTGCTGGAAAAAAAATCTCCCTTGAGCTAAATTTGGTTGGCTTGCTTGTGTAGTGGCATTATTAGGAGATGTAGCCTATGAGGAATGACTTGAGTGAAAAGGTCTACTACCTTACATTCTTTGTGTTTTCTTCCCTAACAAACCACCATTGCCTTTATACCCCCCTTCAGCAGTAGTAATCGGACCCATACTGATTTTCCTGCCTTGAGAAATAGATGAGGTAGCCTACAATTTCAAATAGAATGTTATTGCATACACATAGGGCTGTGAATTGCATTTATGAAAAAAATTGAAAAAGATTCCATGTTTTGAGGTATCCATATTGGTAGATGGAATGAACCTTGCATTGATCTTTCTCGGTGCAAACTTTTTTCTCCTCACAGATGATTCTTGTGCATGCAATGCTTGTTCCAGTGGGGTTTGTTTACCTTCAAGAACCGAAAAAAAAAAAGAAAACTATTAATATAATAGTTGACTTGAGTGCTAATTATCCTATTAACTCATAAGTAGCCAAATAAATATCACCATGGGAACAATTAATTTGACCAATCTTATTAGCATCTTGTGCACCACCTTCAACCCTCTCATGACTTGATCCTATATAGTAGATATATGGTTAATTGCATTAGTGTTCATTGACAGCAAAAAAGTGTAAATTAACTACACATAAAGTGTTAATATACTGACCTTTTGAGCATTTTGTGTAAATGACCTTTCACGTTGTTGACAACTTTCAATTGAAGTGGTCCCTTTCCTTATTCACAATGATTTCGATCGCCTTCTTTCTTGATCTGTAAGCCTTGTAAGGTTTCTAATATCCAAAATGTACCATTTAGCAAGCCAGTTAGAAGTAGCTTGCTTATTCACAAAAACTCTTGGGAGAAGTGTGTTATATCCGTTAAAGACTTGATTTACCACTTAGTGTGGTCTGAATTCTTCCATGAACCTCAACATCTCCAAGGGCAACCTTCTTTCTTGCAGAAAATAGAGAACCTAGTCCCTTCATTTCTACACAACATCAAATCCTTCTGCAATTGCATGGTATTTCAATAGGTTTCTAAACTCCCTTGTATTTGCGAAGCGCATGCCAATTTCAAGCTTGGGTTCAGTTAGGTCTTTATGTTCTTCAAATTCACGCCATTAAGTTCTTGAATTGCTATTATCATCCTCATCCGAACAGTGCAAACTGTGCAAATCATCACTACATTCCGTATCAGAGTCAGGAACTCTTGCAGGGACTAAATCTTTTTCCCCTACAAATTTAATATATATCTTAAAAACCCTCACTGTCATCAGTAGTATAATCTAAAAAATTATCATTGTCTTCAATATCTCCAGCAATCTTCTCTTTTCCCTCGTTTAATTTCCCCTCTCTAAACACATTCTCAACATTGTTCACATTATGGACGTTCTCACTGTAGCTTTTTGTTGTTTGGTCTTGAGTGATGCACCCATCTACTTCATCATCTAACTCAATACTCCCAAGTATTTCATGCCTATGCTCCACATATATATCCATATGATTCACTTTATTTTGCACTAACAACTCATTGCGAGGAGTTATACCTGGAAATACAAGTCGTAGTCCTCTGTCAACCGTGCAAAATGCTCCCAAGTATTTGAAGCTTGCTACTGTACGTGGATCCTCATGACGAGTCGCTCCGGCATCGGATCTTCTCCTTTGACGTCAATGAATTTGAGAAAGCACAGGCTCTTAATCAGCGCGATCTCGAGTTCACGTTTAGAGAATTTGAGGGGAATTTTGGAGAGGATAGGGTAACAGTAGATAATGAGAATTTTCACCATGTGGATAGGTTAATTCCTAAGGAGGGGCACTACTGTCCTTTCATGTATTTCTTTTTAACACCGTTAGCTAAACTTGAACAGTTACTAACTCAGGGTATTTTTTGCTATGTTTTGTAACTTAGGGTATATAAGTGATACAACAACGAAACAATAGGGTATATAAGTGCCATTTAGCCCTAAAAATTTAACTTTTTTCCCCCTCTCCGTATGCCAGTTGTTTTGCCCTGGGCTTTACCTATCGTGAGCAAATGAGGTCTTTCATTTGTATCAGCTTTATGTACTCAGCTTCATAATATTTGGAGATGTGGATCTTTAGAAAAGGATTGTTGTTGGTTCTGTTTCCATTAGAGCTTAACCAGTTTGGGTTCAGGTTTGGATCAAAACTTGCGCAGGTTCGGACTCATTGATAATATGTGAACTGTTCCTTCAACTATACTAACTGAGAACCTCCTGCTTCTTTCCCACTATTAGCAATTATTATTTAAATCGATGTTTACATATTCCTATAAATTGTATGAAATAAGAATCAGTTCAATTGTTTTGTACTTTTTTTTTTGTGGAAGGAGGAATTGGTTCATAGATTTGGCAAATCCTACCTTATATTATTCTTGGGCATCTTTTAAGTCAACTCTAGCTACAACCAATCAACCAATAAAAACTTGTATTATAAGTCCAAGAGATGCCCTATCGAGTTGGATGGTCTCATGGAGATATGGTTATCCAGAAGAATCAAAAGCAATTAGATAAAGCTCATCAGCATGATGGCTATTGCCCCCTTTCTCTTAATTGAGCTGCTTTTTTTACCCTTTTTATCTCTTTTCCTTCTGTGTCTGCTCTGTGTGTTTGTATGGACTCTGATATATCTGAGGGACAGAAGCCCATGACTTTCTAGCATCCCCCACATGCTGTTCCCTCATGCTTCCTGGATCCTATAGGCTTTTTCAGTGGGGGGTGGGGGGGGAGGTTAATTGCACATGGGCCCCTTGTACTTATGGTTGCTTTGCGCTTCTTGGCTTCTATCCTTGTAAGTTTTCATATGTTGTAGAAGACCACCACCGGGGGGGGGGGGGGGGGGGGGGGAGGGGTTACTTTTTATATGAAATTTTGGTAGATATTGGCGCCCGTTTATATTAGTGAGTCACTACCTAAGCGTAAAAGAAAGTAAAAGGTTTAATCAGCTTGTCTATCTACAGCAATAAAACTACACGAGTAGTATGTTTAAGTTAGACAATGTTACAAGTGGTCTATGTACAATTAATCCCAAAAAAAATGATATAAAGGGCTCTCCATTGAAAATCGTCTAGGGAGTAAGGCGATGTTGACACGTGTCATGCTGCGAGGTTCAAATTATCACTAACATACAATTTAGTGCGATCAGAATGCTGTATCAGCGGAATTATATTGCCAATGCACGCAGTCAGACTACAGTATCGGTGTCAATGCAGTCAAACTATTGTATCAGTGCGACCACCAGCTGTAAAATCCGTGCCGGACACTTGTCCTGATTTGCGTACATCCCTAATCTATAGGCTCCGCAGGGGATAGTGTGAAAAGATGAGAGGACTATCTACTCATAACAGATCTGCTCACGAGAAAAGGCCCTGCATTTCTGCTTGCTACTCTTATGGCATCACTAGGTAAAAGATACGGAGCGATAAAAAAACCCGCAGGGACCACTACTTGAATTCCCTCTCTACCTCGTCTCATCTGCATTGCTAAGAACAAAAAGAAATAGAAACGAAAAATATCCAAAGTATGTTGTTTGTGTTTAATCCACACAAGCTCAGTGTAATTGATACAAATATTTTTTTTAATCCATAGTTACTCTCCTGTTATTGCCAGGGTTCAAGAATCAGAAGCGCGCTCTTTGCAGGTTACCGAGCCTGGTTACTAACGCTAATGCGATTTTTATCTTCAATACTTGTCTCGGTGAAATGAAACTACTAAATATTTTTGGATTATCTCTAGTTATTCATGCGGACTACATGGATGATGCATCAAGAAGTAAAACCTTTGGGCTACCCCCAATGCTTCTCAAATTCTTTTTTATATTGCACTAATCCGAGGTTAGACAATACTTGACACATCATAAATATTTAAAAAACAAGAACATTTCGCAACCATCACATCCATAAATATTTAGTAATGATAAATATTTATAAAGCCATGTCGGGATTTGGAAGGGTCACACTCGTTCAAGTTATTCTTAGGGGATAATACCTTAACTTTGGGAATTTCTAATGACATGATAATGTCAATCTTTATTCTGTGCAACCCGCGGAGTTGATTCTCTTTTTTATTGCAACTTTCTGAGGTATTTAAGTGAGAAAAAGGAAAGAAAAAAAAAATCAACCACCATCATTGTTCGCCAAACATTCCTCATGATAAAATTATCATTTTATGCTTTATTTTACAGTAGCTAGATATTCAATATCACCAAAAGTTGCCCCTTCTCCTTCCCGATCACACACATATTCTCCTGTACTGCTCAGCAGATAACTGCCCCTTGTATAATATCTCCACCCCAACTTTCACTCACATCAGAAGAACAGTTTCTTTCTTAAGGGGGGCGTGGGATTTCAAAAAAATAAAAATGAACAACAAAAAAATAAATGTAATGATTTATGTCTACTGTACAGCTGGTGCGTCGTCAATTAAAGAAAAAAAAGGCAAAAGTGGCAATATATAACCCCTTTTTTTTACTGATTCAAAGGTAAACAGTTTTAGTATTTAATGCACTGACTACCTAGTGGATAGTGGATAGAAATCTAAATAGCTCCTCTCTGAAGATCAGCGGGATTGAAATTGAGACACCTTAACCTCTAACCAGAGGCAAGCAATAATTTTGGCGATACCGCTCAATAAAGACATTGCAAATATTCACATTAGCTTAGGAAAACCGAAACCTAAACCCCCATAAACCCTAAACATCAAAGCTACACAAAATTTGATTTATAAATTGGAAGGAATGGGCATCAGAAGCTATGGAGTTGTGTGAGCATGGCAGCAAGTTCATCGCTTGATGGACGATCAGCGGGGAGATCCGACAAGCAAACTAGGGCAATTCTTATTGCCATTAGCATTTCCTCTTCCTCTATTTCCTCGCCTAGAATAGCTTTGTCCAAGGCTTCACGAGCCTCTC